CCCATGGACCATTTCTCCATGAGTTTACGGCCGTAAACTCTAATGGTCCTTGATGTTTTCGATGTTTAAGGTCCTATACACTTCAAGGATGTGATCTAGACTAGTATCCAAGGCTTGGTAAGGGACTAGGGCACACAATGGCCCTTTCATTAGGGTTTACGGTCCAAGAACATGTTTGGACCGTAAACACCTTTGATCTTGTGTTTCTTTGTGTTTACTAGTTGATTAAGAAGTGTAACAAGCCTTATAACACACTAGAGTAAGAGTACTTACAATAAAGGAGCTTGAAAGGGTGTTAAAAGTCCAAGAACACTAGTGTGTGTTCTTGGTGTTCTTGGTGAAACTAAGAACACTTGAAGATCTACACATATGGAATGATTTCACGGATGAAATCATGTAAGATCACTAGATTAAGTAAGATATCAACTAATTAGGGCAAGAAACACTTACAAAGTTGAAGATCAAGAAGGAAAATCGGATGATACTTGAGAGGATTTGATGTTCTAGCTTTTGAAAGTGTGAAAAAAATGAGTAAAATGACTAAGTGTCATATTTATACTCTTTGGAGTTTACGGCTGTAAACTCCATGTTTAGGCCGTAAACTCCAAACTCTTAGAGTTTTGAGACCTTACTGATGCACAATAAACCCTAGAGCATCCTCTCTCCAGCTATCTCCTGAAGTACTAAGCTTTAAAACACTCAAACTGACTCTACATAGCTCAAAAGTTAGCAGAAATAGTTCTGACTTCTATTGAAGTGAATGGTTGTACAGAATAGAAATTTCGGGTTGTCACAGTTAAAATCATCATGCTTTGAATATTTAATATGTGTTCGGTCAATTCAAGGACTTTTCAGAATGAATATCATTTGTTTATTAGATCTCAGTACGTAAAAGTTGTCCTGGGAAACTAAAATCGGCCATACCCTGAATAAATTAATAGGTGTTCGGTCAAAATCAAAGACTTTTAAGTGGGATAACAATTGTTTAATAGATTTACTGTACGTAAAATGTGCATTGGAAACAAAATTTGGCCTTACCTCTTATTATCCACCGAGTTTCCACACTATCCCCTCAAATATCCATCAAACATCCATGTCACTTCTGTATCTTATAACCCACGAATTGGGACTTATTCAAGTCATTTGCACTCTACTTCCCTTCTCTCATTCCCTGATACTCCAACATTAAACAATTTCCAATTTTCTTCAAGAACAAGGTCTAAACTCTCAAATAACTCCATCATCCAAGTGATTCTTGCTTCTTGGTAAGTACTTCTACAAACTCCTTGTGTTCTTACACTCATTTTGGTTCATTTCATTCCATTTACACACAAAAATTGTGTGTGTGACACTTCATAAGGTGTTAGAGACTTCAAGTGTTCTTCAAGAAAAATCTTCGTGTTTGGCTCAACAAACTCTACTCCACACTTCAAACCCTCTCACAAAAACACCCAAGGTGAGCTTCATACCCCCTTGTTTTCAAATTTTACTATCTTTTGGGGGGAGAATACAAGCAAGTTTTGTGATTAATCTTAGAATTATGCATGTATGTGTGTATTTTCATGTTTTATTGAGTAAAATTGCCATGAAAATGTGTTAAACATTCATCAACTTGAAACATCTTCCAAGAATTTATGATATTAACAAGTAAACTACTTAAAGTAACAATTATGATTTGTTTGGAAAGATTAAACATGAAAAAGCTACTAGAAAATCCAAAGAATGTACATACAAGGACCGCTCTTGAAAATAAAGATAAACAAAATGGGCTTTTGGAGTCATATTCGGTTTTGATGGGCTTAGATTGACATTTTTAACAAAAGTGGACTTTTATTGTAAATTTCGCTTTTGTTGGGTCAAAATGGTCATTTTTAATAAAAACGGACCTTTTATGTCATTTTGGTAATAATTGAGCTAAAACAAGCATCTTGATAACAAACGGACTATTTACGACATTTTTATTCTAATTGGGCCTTAAATGCCCATTTGCTTTCTTATTGGGCCTATACGGCACATTCTATGTTGATCAGGTCAATATTAATAAATATTTGACATTTTGATATGAATAAATATATTTTTATCACTGATGCCTTGCATTCAAAACACATATTCGAAACATTATTTATAGTGTTAAACAATGAAATACATTAATCGTGTAGATTTAGTTGAGGCTCTTGTGAGACACACCTTCATTCGTACCTACCTAGCGTACACCGTAAGCCTTGTAGTTATAACCAGAGTCTCTTGGAGGGAGAGCGAGAATTTGTGTATAGATCTATACGGGGATGACACCCCACACCTGAGCTGCTCGCTACAGCTAGACGGGCCAGTCTAGGGTGACAAATGTCTTACCTAACGTGACGCCTGAAGAACGTCATGACATGCATACCAGTCATATCAAGCATGGTTATAGCGACTCACATAGAGAATAACAAACAAATAAATTTATGGAATACACATACTATACTCTTGATACATGGTATGAACTAAACATTTGCTACATTACTCGAGTCTTAGGGTCAAGACCACACCTTTTCATTTATACAGAAAATATAGGATTTTCTGGGAAACTCTTTTTATACATTACCAGACAAGATCACACATGCTCTAATACAAGATTTGAAACAAAAACTTACAAACCATTTTTACAGAAAATATCGGATTTTCTGGTGTTTACAAACTACTACAAAACTTTTCATACAAACATACTTATGAACTCACCAATATTCTATATGTTGACGTTTTTCAAAATAACTTGTATTCTCAGGAACTCGCTAATCAGGTTGGTCGTCAAGGAAATGTGGACTTTTGTTGTAATTTGTTTTCATCATACATTTAATATTTTTGGGGGATGTAATTTGTGAACAAACACGCTTATGTAAAACTATGATGATTGTTATATTTCATGTATGATGATGATGTTGTCTTTGATTCATTTATATACACTGTGATGATATTACAAGATGAAGTCACCCGCCCCCGGACGTTTCCGCTGGTTCAGGGGTGTGACATAAATGGCGTGACCTTAAAGCGGCTTGCACCAAATTTAACGGCGTATTTGACAATCTAAAAAATATGCATCGAAGTGGTAGCAACGATTTCAACATTTTATCAACCGCGTTGCACCAATACAAAATTACCAACAATGGTAAACCTTTTGGCAACCAAAAAGCATGGGAAGTTTATCGCAATGGTCCAAAATGGGTCTTTTATCCGGAAACGGCGCATTCGGGATCTACCACCGGTTCCAACAAAAGGTCGTGAACGTCCGAGTCGGACATTGGTGTTAACCTCAACTTCAATGATGAGTTCGACGCCACCGAGGGGGAGGGTCCACCGGACGTCCATCTTCGTCGACAACCGGGAAGGGACAAAGCGAGAAAGGGGACTTCGTCCAGCGGAAAATCAACCAACGAGGACGTACTAGCGGAGAAAATCGACAAAACTCTATATTTTTTAGAAAAAAAATTTGATTCAACGGAGGAACAACGTCAGCGACAATTGGCACTCACCAATCTTCAAATTGTAAACACGGTGCCGCAACCAAATGTCGGGCCCGAAAAATTTAGGGGTGTTTTTGAAAATTCAACAAGAAGTTCTCGACCAATATCGCAATTAGATTCGATGTTTTTTAGTAATTTAGGTTTAATTTTCTAAGTTATTATTATGTTTTTTTAGTATTTTCGTTTTTATTTTCTATGTGTTTTTATGTTTTTTTAGTAATTTAGGTTTAATTTTCTATGTTTTAAATTATGTAATGTGGTTTTAATTAATATAAAATATTTTATTATATTTAAATTATGTTTTTATCTAATTTAATCATATAAAAAAAGAGATAATTATGGAGTGATGACCATTTCCTAAGTCTAGTGGATTGATGGTGAAGGTGACGTGGGTGACACCACTTTTTGGGTGGGTTGGTGGTCACCACTCCCCACAGCCTAATAAATACAAATATAAAATCCGAAATATTGTTGGGACGGTGCTTTTGTTGTACATCACGAGACTACATTGACGAATTGGATAACGACTGCCACATCACATCCGTGCCACCCAACGTGAAACTTGCTCCTCCTCCAAAATATCTCTTTTTCACAAATATTAATATCGAAAAGATCTACGTGTCCGTCATATGACTATGTTAGCTGTTACTTAATAAAGGGTACTGTGTACACACTATTAACATTATTAACGTTGTTCCATTTATTTTAATATACAGATAGCCTAGTATCTAAGTTAAGTAGTTATGCCTTTTCTTATTACTAAAGTTGAAAGTATAATATTTATCACATCATATACTAATAAATAAATTAAATAAAAAATCGAAGAATTTTCATTTTATAAAACAATTATTTGCTTATAGTCTAATTGAACAACATGAGCAATATTAACTTTACCCAAATATTATTTTCTTAAAGCAAAAAAAAAAAATATATATATATATATATATATATATATATATATATATATATATAATAGTATGTTTGGTGAATATAGCTGTTAGTTGCAAATTTACTGACCGAAAGTTGAAGCGTTTTTATGTGTAGAATATTTTATCATATTAAATACAAGCTTCTAAATTTTATTAAATTACATAAAATATAATCTAAAAGTTAAAAACCTTTGAAATAATTTTTTAATTATTAGGTTTTTGGTTTAAAATAAAAAATTTAAGGTTGTGCTCTTTAATTTAATTTTTTTTAAAATATATATATGCATAACAGATAAAAATTTCTAGAAAATTCCCAAAAAACTTTATAACAAACACTATCTATATAAAATATTAAAACTTAATACCAGATAATCTTAAGTATTTAACTTTATTTGAAATAATCAATCTTATTAGAACAAATCATTACCATATTAATAAAAAACAAATTCCATAAACACATCAAAAACCACTTCCTTGTTTTCCCTATTCCTCTCGTTCCACTTTACATTCGTCCTCCTTTTTCTCTAATATTATATATTTCTTTTATATATTATGTGGTTCCTACTCAAGATACTATTCAAATGTCAGCTTTTTCTGGAAGATACATAATATGGAGATCAACTTTCTAAAAGATCAAATTGTCAAAGAGATTGAGTGTGTAACAGAAAATGTATCACTGAAGAACTCCCTGAGACGATTCTATTTCATTTCAAGATTTCATTAGATCAATCTGTTCATTTCCAACTAATTTGGCTACGACTTGTTGATCATCAGAGGATGTAAGATCGAAAATTTCGTATAACTTACGCCAATTCGTTCTATTAAATACAGAGAAAGAAAAAGAGATGGATCATAATGTTGATATAGAATACGAAGGAGGTGGAAAGATGTCGAGAAACGGATCGGCTTCTGATGAAAGAGGGATGAACAGACAACCGCTTCTTTCGAAGAACAGGGTGAATACGTCATCGCAGATTGCCATTGTTGGTTCAAACATTTGTCCAATCGAATCTCTAGATTACGAGTAATGATTTTTATATCCCTATTCATTCAATCTTCGATCTCGTATTTCAATGTTCTATATTTTGTTTCCTTTAATTTCAGAGGAAAATGAATGACTATACGTATTCTTCATTCTGTACGTTTACTGAAATTTTGATGAATTGATTGAGTCGCTCAACGATTTTTTTTGTTGATCTTATATTCTCACTGTATCTTTCAATTGAGACAGATCTCTCCATACCTGGTACTTCACTTTTAATAAACAGTTAAACTCCCACATTCTTAGCTAAATTTTGTCAATTTCAATGACTATTTGATTTCTATTAATGCATATCTATCTATCAATCATGCTCCTTTACTATGATTCTATGAATGAACTACAAAAGGATATTTAAAAGAAAAATGACTAATATAGGAACTTTTTGTTTTTTTTGGACATTGAACTTGTGATGTCTATTCATGCTAATTTTGTTTCTATGTAAACATTTAATATAGAATTTGTGTTCTTTTAATTCATTTTGGTTGATTGATTTTGCAGGATTCTTGAAAACGATCTTTTTAAGCAGGATTGGAGGTCAAGGAAGAAGGTGGAGATATTTCAGTATGTTGTTCTAAAATGGACACTTGCACTTCTTATAGGAGTGCTTACAGGGCTTGTTGCCTTTTTCAATAACCTTGGAGTAGAAAACATTGCTGGTTTCAAGTTTCTTCTCACTAGCAAGTTTATGCTCCAACATAGGTAATAACCACCATTTTCTACTACATGTGAAAAGACATTTATACCCTCCGAAGAGCAACCATTAACGAATGAATCTTGTTCTAAGTGCAGATATTATGAGGCATTTGCTGTATTTGCTGGAATTAATCTATTTCTTGCTGTTCTTGCTGGACTTCTATGTGCTTATATTGCCCCTGCAGCAGCAGGGTCTGGTATACCTGAAGTTAAAGCTTATCTTAATGGAATAGATTCTCATTCTATTTTGGCTCCAAGTACACTCTTCGTAAAGGTGTGTAATTCAAAATTTTAGAACAATTTACGTGAAATAACAACATACTTTACCAATTTACCCTCACTACTGATATGGGCAATGTACTTTGTTTTTACCTATAATATCATCGTACTTGCATTTTTTTTACCAATTTGGATTTGTTACATATATTATACTATATATTAAAAGCAAATGACCTTATGAATAGTATACTTTTGTGGTTTTAGACTTTAGCTACAAAAGTTTTTTATTTCATATTTTAGCCACAAATAACCTTAACAATTTCATACTTAGGCCATAAAACATTCTTATTTTAGACGTTGGCCACAACAATTTTGTATGTTGGCAGATTTGGTCCATGTGTAGAAAAAAAAATTACAAAAATTGTCCATGTAATTTACAAAAATGGTCCCTATGTAGATTTTTTACAAAAAACGGTATGTTTTTAACACTTTTGGATGTTGGCAGGTTTGGTCCTTATGTAGAAAATAAATTACAAAAGTTATCCTTGTAACTTACAAAAAAGGTCCATGTGCAGGTTTTTTTACAGAAATGGTCCATGACTCCATGTGTTTAAAAAATTATAAAAAATAGTCTCTACCTAATAGAAAATTTACAAATTACACCCCTTGCAAAGCGGAGGTAATATCACCCTAGTTCTTATCATTATTGGTAAAGAAATGCAAGTCGGTTGCTATTATGAGTAAATATCGTGTAAGTGCATTGTTATTATGGAAATTACATCTTGCTATTAACTGTAAGAAAGTGTAAGTGCATTGCTATTAAGGTTAAAAAAATAAAGTACATTGGTTCTATTGGTACTATTTCCCGAAATTTCCTCAAATTCGTATTACTATTTGGAATGATAGTATCTATTTGCCAATAACTCAATATGTTTTTTTTTATTCATGAAAAATGGAATAGATATTTGGATCCATACTTGGTGTTGCTGCTGGATTTGTTGTGGGGAAAGAAGGACCTATGGTACACACGGGTGCTTGCATAGCCAACTTACTTGGACAAGGAGGCTCTCGCAAATACCATCTCACGTGGAAATGGCTTAGATACTTTAAAAATGATCGTGACCGTAGGGATTTAATCACCTGTGGCTCAGCCGCAGGTGTAGCCGCCGCTTTCCGGGCCCCAGTTGGTGGGGTCCTCTTTGCCCTTGAAGAAGCAGCCTCATGGTACAAACAAAAAAATTACCACGACACATTTATTTAAAAAAGTAAACCACATAACTTGATCTAGCCTTGAATGAAATTGATCCAACGATCGTGATCTGTTGTTGTCACTACTTAATCAAACGGACGAGATTGAGTTATGTGGTTCGGCTGTATAATTTGGTTTTGTTTTGAAGTTTACACATAGGATTAATATTTAATATATTGTAGGTGGCGGAGTGCTCTTTTATGGAGAACATTTTTTACAACCGCTGTAGTGGCTGTGGTGTTGAGATCTCTTATTGGATTTTGTAGAAGTGGAAAGTGTGGACTATTTGGGGAAGGTGGTCTCATCATGTTTGATATCAATGGTACAATACCGGATTACAACATGGTGGATCTTGTAGCTGTTATACTAATTGGAGTTATCGGAGGAATCTTGGGAAGTTTATATAATTATTTTGTTGACAAGGTCGTGCGTACTTATAGCTACATCAATGGGTATGTCTCTCTTACTTTTCATCTTTTTTAAAATGAAAAATAATCTCATTGTCTATAATTTTGAAAACAACTTGATTTTTGCAGGAAAGGTCCTATGATTAGGGTGTTTTTGGTGGGTTTGATTTCACTTTTAACCTCTTGTTGTGCTTATGGCCTTCCATGGTTCACAAACTGTGTCCCATGCCCGGTTGGGTTAAGTGTCGAATGCCCTACAGTCGGTCGCTCCGGTAGCTACAAATTCTTTCAATGTCAACCCGGTCACTACAACGATCTTGCTTCCCTTCTACTCAACACAAACGATGACGCCATCCGCAGTCTATTCGGTTCCACCAACGCAAACGAATTCCGTATCTCTACGCTCGCAATATTTTTCCTCGCCATGTACATCCTCGGAATCATAACCTACGGAATCGCGATTCCCTCCGGTCTCTTCATTCCGGTCATCCTCGCCGGATCATCCTACGGCCGCCTCGTCGGAACCCTACTCGTTTCCATCTCAAATCTCGACGTCGGCCTCTTCGCCCTCCTCGGTGCCGCCTCGTTCCTTGGCGGCACTATGCGAATGACCGTATCCCTATGCGTTATACTGCTCGAACTCACAAACAATCTCTTAATGCTACCATTAATGATGCTCGTTCTTCTCATTTCAAAATCGGTTGCGGATAATTTCAATAAAGGCGTTTACGACCAAATCGTAAGAATGAAAGGGTTACCGTTTCTTGAAGCGCATGCGGAACCGTATATGCGACATTTGGTTGCGGGTGATGTTGTTTCCGGACCTTTGATTACGTTTGCCGGTGTTGAAAAAGTTAGTAATATTGTACATTCGCTAAGGTTGACGTCACATAATGGTTTTCCGGTGATTGATGAGCCGCCTTTCTTGGAAGCTCCGGAATTGTGTGGGGTTGTTTTGAGGTCTCATTTGATTGTTTTGCTCAAGGGAAAGATGTTCACGAAACAAAGACGTTTGACCGGAACCGAAACGTTACAAAGATACCATGCGTTTGATTTTGCAAAAGCGGGGTTAGGAAAAGGGCCTAAGATGGAAGATTTGGATATTACACCGGAAGAGATGGAGATGTATGTTGACCTTCATCCGATTACCAATACGTCACCGTATACTGTCGTGGAAACAATGTCTTTGGCAAAAGCTGCGGTTGCTTTTAGGGAACTCGGACTTAGGCACTTGTGTGTAGTGCCAAAGACTCCTGGGGTAAGCTCATTCTCTTATACAATTTTAGTATCTTACTTCCAGGCGGGAAGTTACAAGAGATTCTTACCCCATGTTGCATGTGGGACCGGTTGCAAAGATGAGAATCTTTAAAAGATTCTCACCTCGATGTTTGGACGTGGGACATACAGTTAACACTTTTATTTATTTATTTATTTTTTTTTGCAGAGGCCACCAGTTGTTGGTATCTTGACACGTCATGATTTCATGCCACAACACATTTTGGGACTCTACCCGGGGATTGACAAGCGGCATTGACGTACAGAAATAGAGATAGAGAAGACAATAATACAGCATGACCAGTTATACAGATATCGCAAGGTAAAATGATATCATTTTAGTGAGCGAGGAACGATGAATGACAGTGATTTAGGTTATGCATAGTATTTATTTGTTATCTAATTGGATTGATGGGTATATTTTGATTGTGAAAGTGCAATCAACATACATGGGTTTGTTTTTCTGTTTAGTTTCAAATGTTTTTGAGGTAAAAGTGTAAAAGTTAATAATAGAAAATGGAAAGAATGAATGAACTAAATATATATAAGTTTGTGCGCATGCAAAAGGGAAATGTTTGTGATTCTGTGGTTGCAAAACCCAGCGACGTAGAATATGGTTCAACATTTATTTAGTATTTATGGTATGGACTTTTATATTATTATAAAGATTCGAAGTTATATATGTTAACTTTTTAAAGGCATAGTAAGGTAGTAGCATGGTCATTCTTGCTAACTTCTTACTTTTGGAAAGAATAGGGAAATACTAAAAACTATTTTAATCATATTTGTTTGCATTAAATTATTATTTCATGATGGTTACAAATGGAAAGGGTTTCACTAATTTATACGCGAACCAAGGTTTGTAGAATTCTTCAGGCGTGAGATGTTGAAATTTCAATTAGGCTAAACTATTGAAAGTACTTTTAAGCTAATCTATTTTTTTATAATATCTTACAAGATTCTTTATATTCTTTTCAACTTTTTAAAGAACTTTGGAAAATTCTAAAGTCTCACACTCTCACATGATGCTTTAAACTTTGTCTGCAAATGATTGTCAATTACATTTTGTTTTCTGAGTTTTACAATTAAAGAAAGGAAAGAAAATTGTTTTCGATACCACAAAAGTCATTAAGTTTATACAAAAATTTGATTTTGATATTGTTTTATTACATTACGTTTCCAATTTGTTACAATTCTGACCACTTAACCGGTAACCCGGTTGCCTGCTGATGTGGTATGATGACGTATCAGTTTTTTATGACGTAACGTGCCGACATTATATGTTGGCATGTCAAAACTGAAAAAAAAAAATATCAAAAGACATTAAATTTTCATTTTTTTCAATTTTGACACTAACGTCGTGTTCTTGAGTTTTAATTTTAATGAGGGGGGAGGAAAAGAAGGGGAGGGAAAAAAAAGGGAGAGATTCGGAAGGAGAAGAAAATAGTATCACTTGCGTTCTCAAGTAGCAAGGAAAGGGGAGGAGTTTTAGGTGCTCTTTGTTTTTTTGAAGCAAAAATTCATGAAGTCTGCAAACCACTTCTGCAACTCTCTGCAGTAGAAGAGGTGGACCAAACGGCTGCAGACTGTAATAATAAGGGTGTTTGTTTTTTTAACATCTGCATGTTGATGCAAATATTAAAAAATTAAAATAAACTGATTTTATAAACCAAAATATTTTTTAATACCGAAAAATGAATAATGTATGACATTTCAGCAATAATTTATGATATTTCAGCAAAAAATAATGATATTTCAACAAAAATTAAATATATTTTACCAAAAAATAATGATATTTCATCAAGAAATTATTATTATTCAATATTAAAAAAAAGAATTCAATAAGAATAAACAAAAAAATGAAATAAAAATGTAAAATAATATTTCAGCAACATATAATCAAGATTTCAGCAAGAAAAAATAAAAAGATGTTGGAAAAGGGTGGAAGAGACAATACAAGTGTTGCGCCAAACAGAACACGCGCAGATGTTTTTTACTCTGAAGACTTCTAAAAAACAAACAGCTGCGAAATTAAAAGTGTTGCGCGTGTGCTGCGCGGCGCAGCAATAAGAGATCTTCAGGTTTGAAGATGTTTTTTACAAAAAGCAAACAACACCTTAGTGTCAAATGACATTTTTGTCCTTGATTAGGTTTTAGCATCAAGGTGCAACAGAGAAAAGGACAAGGGTAGAAGCTGTCTTTTTTACCTTTCCTTCTCAATCCTCCTAAAATTGAGCGGATACAGACCAGACCATTTTCCTTCTTCCTTCTACCTCTCAATCATCTCCTACCCTTTCCTTTCTTTCCTTAAAAAAAACTTAAGAACACCCCTCTCCCTCACAACCCTCTCATTTCCTCCTCTTTCTCTCCTAAAAAAAAACTTAAGAACAAGGGGTAAGTTTTTATTTTTGTTTTCAATTTTGACACTCGATTTTTTTGTTCCAAATTTATATCATTTTTCAATTTTGTTCAGTTCTGATGACGTGACACTCTGTTTTTTTGTTCAAAATCGGACATCATTTTCTATTTAATTTGAAACCATAAAAATAATTTTTTTTTACATTTACAACCGTAAAAAATATATATTTTTTTATTTAAAAGTCATATTTTTCATATAAATACAAGACTTTTTTTACATTCAAACCATAATATTATGTATAAATATGTTTTAGTTATATTAAAACCATATTTTTAAAACATAATATATTTCTTGGTTTGTTGGAAAAATGATAACATCTTAAAAATTGAAGATTTAGTATGTTAGAATTATTAAATAAAATTAAATTAAACTTGAGACAAAAATTAAACTTGGTGCAAGTTGGTTAAGAAATGTAAAAATGATTTCTATTAGTCATTTAATTAAATGAAATATAAAAGTGTCACTAAATAATAAATGTTCTACTTTAGAAATATGGAAATTTCATATAAATGCAAAATAAATGTGGTATAATAGTTTAAATGTCTAATTAGACAATAAAGAAGATAATCCAATTAAGATATATCAGCTTTATTGATAACAAACTAAATATATATTGATTATATTATAATTGTATTATATTATAACTGTATTTTTCATATATTGTTAGGATGATATAATTTTTCTAACAAATCAAGAAGTATATGAAACATCCCAAAAATAAGACCCAAAAAATTTATTTTTAATTAGTGAAATCAGTATTTCCAAAACATCATCGGTATAAACCAAATAAAATAAATGTGTCAAACAACATATCAATCAGAGTGAATCACAAAAAGCGGAACGGGGTGGTGTGTGCTCTGCAATCATCCCGATCTCTTCCCCTTAGAACTGGAAGTACATGAAACATAAACTGAAAACCGTAAGCACGGAGCTTAGTGAGTTCCCCAAGATACCACATACCAAATCATATAACACATAACAGGCCCCACCCAAAGAGTATAACGGGCCCCACCCTGATTCGCATAACGGGCCTTGCCCAATAAGTATAACGGGCCTCGCACTAACTCGCATAATGGGCCCCGCCCACATACAATTCATACTACATAACAAGTAATAGCATATAAAATAATCATCGGGCCCCGCCCAGTAAGCATACAAGCACATGCACATACTAGTATCACACAGACAACGAGTATTCTAACATAACAGATCATGGGTCGGCATTGGTGCCTTCAACCCGCTACACATGGTGAGGAAACTCACCTCGGACTGCTGAATCACATCAATAATCCCTTGCTGATGGTCCGACGAATCCCCGAGCTATCAATATCAAATAACACCCAGTTAACAATTGGAGTCAAATCTATATCCTTTAACCATACTTAGGGTAAAAAGATCATTTTACCCCTTACCTAGTTTGGTCCAAAACTAAAGCCCAAACTTTCATTCTAAAAGGTCCAAAAACTAATTATCCATCCAAGGCCCACATATGGCCCAATTTTCCAAATTGGGCACAAATTCCTACATGGGCCTTACCTTAAGGCCCAACAATTTTTACTAGTCCAAATACTTGCATTCAGGTGGCCCAACAATGCCCCAAGCAACTAAGCCCAAAAGATAACCTAAACCTGAAGCCCAAACATGCGAAGTCCACCAGACTGAGTACGCGGGGCGTACCCAGCACGTACGCGCAGCGTACTCGCTTGAGGACTTGTACGCTAAGCGTACCTGCTTGTACGCCTAACATACTCACCCATTCAGCCAAAACTCGATTTCAGCCCTTAATCCCTTAATACATAGCCCTAAAACATAGATCTGACCTCCTTGAGCTAGAATATCACGTAAAGTTGCTAACTTTACGTTCATGCATGGCTAAATGAAGCTATTAAGCTTAAAATGTAACATCCCAAAAATCACGACCAAAAATTCCATTTTTAAATCATTAAATAAACCATAATTATTAAAATCATCTTGTCAAAACAGAAACCATAGTATCTCAAAATATCATAATCGGTATATCCATATCAAAACACATGTCAAATGTAACGCCCGTAGATCCGGGCTAGTCAATTTAGAGATAATAGGGGTCGAAAACGACTTTTCAACAAAAGATTATTTAGAATAAATAATCTTAACCAAGTTGTAGAATATGTCTCAAGGGTTTCGTACATATAAAGAACGCCGAAATCCGAGTTATAACGAAGAAGTTATGGCCCGTCGAAGTTTTACGGCAAAACCGGCACGGCACCGGGAAGCGTAAATAGTGAATTTACGATAGAGCGACTTTTAGCCTTAGCAATCTAAATGAAAGTGGTAGAATACGTTAAACCGAGAGCGTGCCTAAAAAGAACGCCCAAATCTGACTTCGTATGAGGAAGTTATGATTTTTCGAAGTTTCGGCTTAGCAGTGTACAGCCCGAAGTTCGAATATTAGATCGAGCGGTTTTTAGCCGACACCACCTAAACGAGAATCGAAGATCTCATTAATAGTAGCGTGACGATAAAAAGACAGACGAAAGCGGACGTTGGATTAAGAAGTTATGAATTTTTAACGGACCAATCCTGTCCCGACCTGTTAAAAATACAACCTTTAAAATAAAGTCAAAGTTAGCCGATGGAGTCTAAACGAAAGTTGTAGAGTATGTTCCCACCTACGCGTGGCTATAAAGAACGTCGAAAACGGAGCTCGTATGGGAAAGTTATGATTTTTAGAAGTCGGAAAGTGAATTTGCGAAATCTGATGCGAGAATGATGATGTGGCTCGATCTGGGTCGTCGCTTGCTGATCACGGACTAGCCTTGGATGGGTGACAGCTGGCTCGCTACGCAGCGCGTACGAGAGGGGAACACCCCGCGTTCGGATTCGCTTGGTCTCGGAATGCTCCACGTCGCCCCACCCGGATTCGGACACTTGTCTGTACGAACGCGCAGCGTAAGGCCGGAACGCCCTGCGTACCCTTACAGGAACGCCCATCGTACTCCGCAGCTGGTGGCTATAAAAGAGAGCGAAGGCAGCCCTCATTTCTCACTCCTTTCCCACTTCTCTCTGTCTCTACTTTCTCTCACTACCCCCCCCCCCCCCCCCCCCCCAATCCTAGGTAAACCCCCT